GTATTTTCATCTGCGCTGGAAAAAGCATTGTACGAGAAATACTTATTGGGAAACAATTTCTCTGAGGTTATGTATATTCAATAGTGTTCAGCTGTATAGCAAAAAATTACCACAATAAAACAAAATAAATAAACTGACCTAAAATCGTAAAAATTAATTTCATTATTCGCCAAGCAATTTGAACCAGTTATAGTGTTTTGAATCTAATATATTTACACTGACAAAAATAGTTACAAAGCGCAAGTCTTATAAAAATGTGAAGTTTCGAAAAAAGTTCACTGCATATTCTCAAAGTATATTTTATTTATTTCTTCGAAATTTAACAAAGATCTGAGCACTAGTGCCAAAGTTAAAGTTGTCAACAGCGCGCTTCTCCCAAGTGCCCCTAAGTACGTGTCACAACTTTAAACGCGATTATCTCAAAACGGTGTTTTTCAAAAAATGTGTTTCCATTGCGGTATGCAAGATTTTTTAAGGACCATGTGACCTATCGATCTAATTTATTTTTTTTTTTTTGCAGGCTACTTAAAAACTGATAAATATGCATATGTATTTAATCCCATAACAATATTTTCATCAGCTTTGAAAAGCCTTAAACGGTACTTCAGCTAACTCATTGAGTAACATCAGCCGAGTTTAAAACCGGTTTTGTTCAACAGTCGCACTAACTCGTTCATGTAATAGCTGTCTTCGATTCGCCAAGCACTGGAGAGTGCAAATCTAACTAACTATACCAGATATCTAAACAAGCGGACGACACTTGCAATGCAGCCTTGTGCTAACATGTCTTTTGAAGCATGCGCAATTGTGTTGCTATGTTTTCTTTGGCTTTTCTTTTTATAATTAAGTTAAAGTCTTATTTTTTTTAAATAAAAGAAATAATATTTATATTTTCATTTTTAAAACTATCTTTTAACCCTACACAATAGTAAAACTGATCTAAAATAAGTGAAATAAATTAGGTAGCATTGAAAATACAATAGTTATGCCACATATTTTGATAAGGTAAAGTAGAATCAGACTACGCTGGTGCAATCTTACAATAGATCCTAGTTTCTTGGTATGCTGATAGCAGCGACATCTTTCGCCACCAATTTCTTTCTCTAGCTTTTATATAAAATAGACACAAGCACTAAATACATAAAATATCTTCCGCTGTCAAATAAATACCATTAATTAGTACATTTTCGTCTTTATAACAATGCCTTGAAATTCCAAAATGGAATCCATAGTTAGCCTCAAATAATTGAGATACAATGTCTTTCAAGGGTCTACGGGTCGTTCAGCACAAAACCAACCTATTTCGCTTCTTTTTCTAGACTGGAAAAGGCTGCGCTATTTTTAAGGTCTATGTTGAATATAATCTTCGTATCCTAATAGTATTGTACTTTTAGAGTAGACAGTGCTACTGCAGCTCAGTTTAGCGGTGCGTGTCAAGTATTTCAGCATTATATAATATCAAAGAAGTCGCACGAGCGAAAATCATCCTGTTTAAAACCTCGTCTAGCATAGAACGGCTCGGAGAGGTCCTTTTGATCTTTATGCAAAGCCGTATGAGTTTCGCAGGGATACCAAATTTAGACATGGCGTCGAATAGTCGGCTCCTGTTCAGTGTTGTCGAAAGCGGCTTTAATGGTGAATTTGCTAGCTCTGAAGCCACATTGATAATACCCCATCAGTGTGTATACAATTGGCTTTAGTCACAATACTGTCGAAAGAACCTTATATTCCATGTTAAGAAGATCCTGCGATATTTAGCGCATACTTCTGGATCTCCATTCTCGTAATAAGGCAGAGTACTCTTACATATCAATAATTGGGCATGTATTCATCTGACCAAATCATGCTTAGCAGCAAAACATGCACCTTTCCATTTGCCGCCGGCTTTAAACAGCTCAGCCGGTTCTCCATAAGCCGCTGGGGATTTGTTGTTTTTAAGCCGCCGTAGAATTGTTTTCACCTCTTGTCTGGTAAAAAGTTCCTCATAAATATTATGATATTGGACATTAAATGGAAAACTTTTAAATTTTCAAATGAAACAATTTTCAGAAATCGCCTCTAGCTGTACTTTACTCTATTATTTGTTCATCACAATTTCATGTAATTAAAATTGTTTATTAAACTCAACAAATATATTTATTTAATATAGTGTATTTTAATGGATTTCAATATTTACATAATCTTACGTTACATTTCACCAAAGCTTTTCTCTGAAAAAATTTAACATTACAAAAATATTTAAGAAAGCAAAGACTGCTATCAAAAAAAAAAACACGAAAATATTATTAAATCAATTACAGTTTTTCAGTAAACAATTGAATTAAGAAATTTCGAAACAATCGTGTGAAAATAGTTTGGCTTTTAAAGAAAATTAATTAATTGCCTGCAATTGTTGAAAACAGCACACATACTTGTATATTATATAAAATGTATTTGTAGGAATGTGCCAGTTTAGACGAAAAAATCTAATTAAATAGAGCTTTTGAAAAATAATATCAATTGCCACTGGATATATTTATATATAAAAATGTAGGATTAAATTTATCGCATTCAAACAAAAAATGTGCATGTGAAATATACTATACACAAATATTTAATATATTTATTCATAAATGCCCGAATAGATATATGTATATAAGTATATCCGTTAGAGGTTTTCATACATTTCCTCACAAACCCACACATACATATGCACTAATTCCATATTGCATGACCTGCGCGCCAGTATTGAATTACTTGTTTGCCTTTCGATCAGTCAACCGATTCGCGCTTAGAATTAGTTTGACCTGAATTGTTTTTTCGAAGGATAAATATGCAGGCACAATCTACATATATACATATATATATTTTTGTATAAATTTTGGCATAACGTTAACTACGTTAAAGTAATATAACAATAAATGGAAATCACCGAACCATTGCCGCTCAGCACTTTTATAAATAACGCCTTTTTAAATACCATTTACGACTTTTATCCAATAATCTTTTATCTGCTTAAATACAGCCTTTGCGCGCATTAAAATATTTTGCATACATAAAATATGTTATTCTCATGCTCCATTTTAGTCAATAATGATTTTGGATGAGGTTATTTAAATATTGAGGTCATGTTTGACGGTATGTGGCGGCTTTCAGGTTTAAAAAAGAAATGTGGCAAATTATGCTTTGTTTGCTGGGTTTTGTTATTAAATTCGATATATCAAACCAAAAAGAGGTTAAGTATTAAAAAAAAGGTTTTCGAATTTTATTTTTGTGCCTTTTTTGTGCAATCGTATTGGACATGGAATGCGCTGCGTTAACTATCATGATTCACTTTTTTTTTTCAAAGCAAACTATTAATTTTCTTGCCAATTTACTGGTTTTGCATAAACATTAGCGCCAAGTTTATTTTGTGTCGCAATAATAATAAGAGGTTTTCAAAAATAATAATAATAAGAGAGATAACGATCTTTGATTAGGTTGATGATTTCTTTACAATAATAATGGGAACCTCACATTGCTTATTCATCCATAGGTGTCTTTTTCGGCAAATTTGGTTGAACCAGTTAAGTTTCTCAACACTAATGGCTTAACGAGGGAGATTTGGGAACGAAAGCTTTTTATTATAGTTTAAAAATCTAAACTATTTCTATTAGCTATTTTGTACAAATCGGATACTTCGGCTAATATTTTATTGACAATCCTAAAAGTAGACTATGGTTTGTATGAAAGTTACAATGTTCCGATTAGGTACAAAATTGTCGTCAGGCTTTTGACTATATTAAAAAAAAAAGTGCTGGACTTATGAATTAAGAGCCACACCTAGTATGTAATTTCAAAAAATCTAATATTTTATTCTTTCATATATCAATATGGTTAATATATCTTCAAAAACAACAGACTAAAATTTTTAATTAGCATTAGAAATATTTTTTTAGTTACGGCGTGTTAAAGTGTAGCCGCTTAGTTCAATCAGCTCCATCAGTGTATTTTTAAATGCGGTTTTCTCAAAACTTAATTTTTCAAATTTGCTTGATTGCTTACTCCGCGATAAATCATTCGCTTACTTTAAAGTTTTTTTTTGCATGTTCTATAAAGGTATAATATAATTCTACGTACAGTCAACAATTTTTTAATATGTTCAAACATCAATTTATGACAAGCCAAAAACGCCCAAAATATTGGTTAAAATAAAATTTTTTTTTTTAAAACGCCGCCATATTGTTAATTTTTGATTCCTTTTTCGACCATACGTCACTATACGATATCGTCTCAATATTTTCTAGTCGAGAAGTTTTTTAGGTTTCGTTCACGCAGACGTTCGGAACCACTTCAGCAGTGGAGGATCCATTTCTAGCGCTGCCAGAGATCGCATGTAACTCTAAAAATACTAAATTTCTTTCTTGAAAATCTTGACTGTGTACTATTAAAATATATACTGGTAAAGATTTTAGAATTGTTAAATTTTTATACCCTGAACAGGGTTTATTAAGTTTGCCACGAAGTTTGTAACACCCAGAAAGACCGTTGGGATAAGCTGAGTTGATTTATTTGTTGAAATTCTGCACACTTTCTTTTTTCCCTTAAAAGCTGCTCATTTTTCAGAACCACCGATATCGGACATGTATAGCATATAGCTGTCATACAAACTGAACTATCAAAAACAAGTTCTTGTATAGAAAACTTGTGTTTGACGAAATATCTTCACGATATTTGGCATGGATTGTTGTCCAAAGCAGTTCCAAAATTTTTCGAAGAAATTTTTCAGATCGGATTACTACAGCCCAAAGCTGCCATGCAAACTGATTGTTAAAAATTCAGTCCTTCTATGGCATAAAAACTGACCGTTCAATATGAAGATAGCGTTTTTATACCCTTTTATGCTATAAGAAATGTAAATGTCTTCTGGTAAAAAAAAGTTAAATATTATTCATCAGCAAATTTTTTATATAAAAAATTAATATACGAATAACTGCCAATATTGATTTTGTAATATTTTCTTTGTTATTATTTGCTTACAGTGCACTAAATGGAAACGATCTAAAAATCCTAAATTCAAAATAAATCCAAGTATATACAAAATTTAAATAATTGAAAAGGAGGCCAACTCTCTTTGAAATCCAAACCCTCGCGGGAGACTAGAAATGAGTTAATAAACTAAATACACTAGCTGAAAATGGTGCAAGTACATAAATAAATTGATGTGTATAGAGTGAAGATATCAGCGGAAACGGAAAGTGAGAGCAACTGGAAGATTGAAAGAGATTTATCTTATAAATAAGTTATGCTAAGAGTACTTATACATATGTATGTATAGAGGCACATAAATCACAAGGCACGTAATACATCCTACGCCTTACACTGCTATAAACCGTTAAATGTACATCACTACCCTTTATATACGTATAAGAGGCAAGCAAGTACTCTAAAAGAATACTCATATATATGTAACTGCGTAGCCACAGCCGCTGCTTCTTTGTCTCTATTTAGTTGAAGCAGTGACCTTAACACTTGCCACACTGACCAACGCTAATGAATCAGCGACAACAACAAAACGAACAACAATTGCAGAATCTGCACCCAAAAACGAACAACTCGTTGTAGCTCTAACAACGAATAACTGAACAAAGGCAAGCGGTGTAACAACAATGAATGTAATCGCCAAGACCCAACAATTCGCACAGGCATTAGTTGTAGTTGGCTTCAGCAGCATCACTGCAGCGGCCACTCATGCGACGGCACACAATCCAAGGACGGATAATTTACTAGCCGCAGCCGCAGCAGAAACAACTCGTTCTACTTTAACGCTAGCTGCCAGAATGTTAGCTGGCTTACCAACATCCGCCTCCGACATTGCTGACTCGGCAATAACGGATATGGCGGCGGTGGACAGCACGAGCAGCAATGAAAGTGCGGAGGGTGAGGGTGTGGCTGAAGCAGAGCCGGATACGTTGGATGTGTTGCGAGATGAATGTTATAAACGCCTGAATGAAACCGCGACACAGTTTACAGCAGGTGAGTGGGATTGTGGGTGAAACAAGTCGATATGTGTAAGTGTTTGTGCGCAAAGATGTTTTTGTGTGAATCCTTTGCTTAAATAAGTGCGAAAAGTGGTCTTAATATATTATATTAGTATAGCGAAAATTAACATGGTACAAAGACCATTATCCTTTAGAATCTAATTTTTAATTACATTAGAAGTTAAGTTAGACTGATGAAGCATAATTGGATTTTAAATAAATAGAGATAATGTATTAAAAGCATGTTTCTTTCATAATTTGGTTAATCTTGTATGTCATTTAATTCATTCTGTTAGTGAACTACAAAAAATATCCGGAAAAAAGTACGCAATTCAGACTATCATGAAGGTGATTTAAGTGTGCTTAATTTAAATTTTATTTTGATGTAATAGTTTAGTAATATGTCTCAATCAAAATCACAAGTAATTTGCTTTTTATACCATAATCTATCATTGGAGAACACCTTCACTTCCTCGTATATGTCTGTATGACCTAAGCCATGTTCAACCAAATATTGATTTGTTTCTGTTTAGTGCAACGTATTTGAAGATCTTCGTAGACCGAAGCCTCCAAGTGCTTGACCAAATCTTTTCTTCTAGTAAGTAAGATTTTCTCGGTCACATATGTACAATATTAATTATTAGCTGTTTTCGATTCGCCAAACATTGGAGAGTAGCCAATCGAACAAACTATATGAGATGTTCAAACAGACAGGTAGCACTTGTGGTGCAACCCTGAGAACCTGTAGAATAATTTTTTAACCCCTTAGTTTTATATTCTATATTAAGCCTTGTAAGGCTTAAGTTTTCAAAATCAAAGAATGAAAAGAATCTTTTTGTTTTTTTAAATTTTTTACTTGTGCCATTCACAATAGTAAAAGTGTCTAAGATATGCAAAGCAAAACTTAATAGCATTGAAGATAGCGGCTATGGCACTTTAATGAGGTATCTCGTATACTCGATAACTTTGTTGTTGGTTTTTCCATGTAATTTTTTTGACAAGAGAGCAGCGCAGCTATTGATAATCTAGAAATTTTACTTCGAACTCTGCATCCTTATACCTCACTGGAGTTTATACTTACAGTTAGTTAAAATTTTATCTTAAAAGACAAGACTAACATACTCAACAGCTTGAAGCTACTATTATTTCGGTATGGGGAAAAAGTGGGCAATTTCACCCATTCTTGGCATTATACCCCTACATGCAAAGTCCAACAATCTCATATAATGACATATCTTTCTCACTAATCAGTGCATTCTTTATAAAGCGAACTAGAATAGTTACAATCATAATATTGTGTATATAGAGCTAGTGAAAGGTTTGCACCAAGCTTTTGACTTTTCGGATCTAACTATACTATACTCAACAAAACTTGCCAACTTGTTTAATTTACGTTATATATTAGGTGCAATCAACAGAAATCTCTTATTATGAAATTGAATGATTTAATTATTACTTTTCGTATCCAGCCTTATTCAAATGGTTGCAAACGGTTTATTGTGCAATGTTTAGGTCCTGGACAATTATAATCGGCGATTTCCATTATTTGATCGACTTTTTCGTTAATTGGTCTTCCCGAGCGTGGTGCATCTTTGACATCGAAATTAACGGAACAGAATCGACGAAACCGAAATTGCGCATGATTGGCTGGTACAGTATCCACCTGGCTTACGTTTTCGCAGAAAAAACTGTAAAATATAGCTATTTTCTCTTTGCTATTGTCCATCTTTGACGCTTGCTCAAACCAAAATGAATCAACCAATCGAAACACTGCCAGAAAAGCTTTTTTAGTACCAAGTGTCGTCTTTCTAACGCTATCTAGCCGAACCCGATCAGACTTATACAACGCGAGATACAGATAAATAACGCCAACTATTGGAAACATAATGGATTTCTTTTTAGTACACCTAATATATATTTATTATAGACCGATATAAGTTATAAGGACGAAAATCTTTATATTACCCCTTATAGTTAGTTCTGGATGGACCTCATTTTTTATGATATCTTACATATTGAGAGATAGATCTTGAATAAATTCGGTCAAATATTATATGTTAATATTGAGTATAAAAGGTACGGAGAAATATCTGCCAAAAGTGTTATTTTTCTTTTATTTTAGTTCGATAATCTTGTTAATGCTTACACCCATGATCTGTGCACTTGAAAAATTCAACACCTTGCTTGTTTGTCAATATTGAATATTCATCATACTTTTTCTATTGTGTATGGTAATTGAAAAGCTCTTTTCTTGTCAAGTCAAATGCTCTTGACAGTGCTTTTTTCAAATAACACATTTGTTTAACTATTTTTTCCTAGAAAGGAAATGATTTTACTTTTATTGTTTTTAATTGGCAAAGAGTAAAATAAAAGAGGAACTAATTTCGACGCGTGAAATTTGCTTGTCGTTGCATTGATAAATTGGTCCCACTTGATAACCAAAACACTGCCTATAGCCGTAAGAGTTCTGGCAAATTTAAAATTCTTTCGCCACGTTTCATACCTAAAATATGTATTTGCCAAGTTCACAGAATAAGTTCGTTAAGCTATCTATTATAAAGTCAAATTAACTATAAGGCATTAAAGACGGCGTTGTATTGGTGGTACCGATACAGTCCGATTTTTATTTATTATTTCTATTTATGGAATAACAACCTACTTAAAATGTAAAGAAACACGTTTCACCAAAGTATCGTGTTGTTGCCACGGTTCAGACAGACTGACAAACATCTGCCAATCATTTGTTCCGAGATACTGGTAAAATTGGATATACATATAGTATATTATACTGGGCCAATAAAATGTTTGAATTTGAAAAAAAATCACCCGTATGAAAGAAAAAATAAAAAATAAATTTCAAGATCTATCTAAATTGAATTTAGGTGTAACAGGGTAAGTCTACCTCCATACACTAGTCGTTTAAAACTTATTAATCTACCTACACTTTCTAGTCGTAGGGAAATGCTTGGCATAATATTCTCAGTGAAAATTTTGAATGGAACAGTTTGCAGTTCTTTTCTCCTGTCTGAAATTAAATTTAATATCCCGGTTCGCCTTTCGAGGCAGTTTAGACCTTTACTGCTAAAATCCTGTAGATCAAATTTTGAACTAAACGAGCCATTCCGCCGTATATGTCATGATTTTAATTCTCATTCCAGCACATTTGACTTATCTGACTCACTTTTCAAAATTAAAAAGACTTTATTGTTTTCTCTTAATAAATGAAAATGTAACAATTTATTATATTGTAACTTTAGATCTTATCTGTTGAAGTTTTTGTTTCTGTAGCTGAGCATTTTAGATCTCAACACACTCTCTTGCCTTTTCTGACTCGGCTAATTCCGCACGTATGCGGGCTGCGCCCCTCGCGTCGGTTGGGCGGGAGGAGGATAATCGTTGGGTTATTATTTCATAAATCAATTAAATTATAAAGGGTGATCCGTTTCGAGTTTCCCTACTTTTTTTAAAGAAAAAAAAAACAGAGAAAAATCAAATTTAGAGGGGAATGTTTATTATCATTCGAAAGAACATTCTTTGGCATTGTGTGGGAAGTGGCGCCGACTTGTTGCAACCAAATGTTGCCGAGATCACGTGCTTCAATTTCAAACATCAAATAGTCGGTTACCATTGCGCGATAACGATCGCCATTAACGGTTACGTTCTGACCGGCATCATTTTTGAAGAAATATGAACCGATGATTCCACCGGCGAATAAACCACACCAAACCGTTGTCTTTTCTGGATGAAATGGCAGCTCTTGAATCCTTTCAGGTTGCCCTTCGTCCCAAATGTGGCAATTTTGCTTTTTTACGTACCCGTTGAGTCAGAAATGAGCTTCATTGCTGAACAAAATTTGGCTCGAATACGTCGGATCTACTTGGAACTTTTCTAGAGCCCATAGAGCGAAGCGATGTCACTTGGAAAGGTCGCCTGGCTTCAGTTCTTGCACAATCTGTATTTAGTGCGCTTTCAATTTTAGATCTGGACGTAAAATGCGCCAAGTCGTTCCATACGTCACTCCGAGTTACTGCGAACGGCGCCGAATTGATTCCACGGTCTTCGTGTACACTTTCAACTACGGCCGCTATATTTTCTTCCCTGCGTTCTAGACGTGGTCTATTCGGTCAATTATTATCCAATAATGAATGCTGGGTCTCAAGATGGGTGACAGTGTTGCGAATAGTACGCTCAGTAGGCCGAGTATGTTGACCATAAGTTAAGCGAAGCGCGCGAAACACAGTTTCTACAGAACGTGAATTTTCGTGATAAAGTTGAACAATTTGTAAACGTTGTTCAAGCGTTAGTCTTTCCATTATAAAGTGCCAAACAATACTGAACATAAATAACATGACAGCTTGACTCAACTCACGCGTGGTCTGTCCAAAAACAGCGGTTGAAAAAAGTACTTCTACTTGGTTTATGCGTTATCGATATTAAACTAAATTTTAAAATTCGGAAAAAATCTATATTCTTAAATTAATCGAAATTAAATTTTACTAAGTCCACTAATTTAAAGAAAGCTGCTTAGGCAATATTTGCAATATCTGCAATGTCATGAAAGAGATTAAAATGAAAATGAAAATGAGAATATAAACAAATGCCTGAATTAGCATTTTCATAAAAACCTTTAGGTCTGAAGTAAGCCAAATTTATTATGAATTTGCATTTTGCAAAACAAACAGGATTTTCTAACGAGTAAAATTTTTGCACCTCAAAAAAAGGACAGGTATAATAAGCAACCAAAAATATGATGGCTTTTTTCATCACATGTCAAAACAAAAGCCAACACGCACATACACACACACACGCGCTATTATACCTTGACAAAGTGACATACTTCGGCTAATTTTTTGGTAAATGCGTTGAACTTTCGCACTAACTAAATAAAATAAACCACAATTTGCTGTGACAAAACACAGACGCAACTGTTTACACACATGCACACACTAAACTACATATTTATATATTTACAATTTATAAAAATTTTACCTTTCATTTATATTTAAATATATTTTCTCTGCTATTTTACTTGCACCCAGGTGAATCTTACTGCGCCGGCACATTTGACGGTTGGCTCTGTTGGCCGGATACAGCCGCCGGCACTTCCGCCTACGAACGCTGCCCGGAATTCATAACTGGCTTCGATCCGACAAGTAAGTTTTAAACATCAAAGAAATACAAGTATTAACACTGAGTAAACAACCTTGTTGTAATATATTATATATTGCATATATGTAACTGTGTGGGTGCTTTGTGCGCCACTTTGCGTCATAAGGAAATTGCACAAATGAAGGAGGAAAAAGGAAACTGCCAGCTGGCAGCTTAACCTTAACCGATTGCACGCTTAAAACGGGTCATATAAAACTGTCAACAGCAATTTGTACGAGCTCTACTATACACACATATGTACATACATTTAATATATACCTGCTCATATATGTTTGCATACTCTAGGGCGTATTTTGTTCGCCCACCGCCACTTGCGCTCGCATGATCGTTTGATATTCTACTTTATCTCCTTTTTTGTGCCCTTTGTGCGTTTGCTTTTATACGCTGAGACGCACATTAAATTGAAATGAAAACTCAACCGCCAAGAGCAGGCAGTCATGTGGAAGGAAAACATAAACAGCTAACCAATACCCAAAGGATCAAACAACAACTGCATGAAAACATGTTCATTCTTTTTCATTTTATAAGTAATAGCAAAAGAAAGAATGTAAAATTGCACAAAACGAAAATGCTAATACTAAAATGCTGCAATAGGCAGGCTTAGCATCCTGCGGAAACCAATAGCTAACCGTTTGCTACCTAAAGCAGCACCAACAAATCCGCAGTGACAGAAAGACCCTCCTTTGCAATAGCGTGTAATTGTTTGAAGTAAATTCAGATTTAACTATTGAGTAGGGGATTTTGACTGCTGCTTAAACTAAGCAATGTACATTTGCATATTCCCTCATACTTATCAAACGTATACTCAACTGCACTGAGTGAGTTACTTTAGTACTGAGGGTATACTTTAGCTAAATACATACTGGAATTCAATCCGTTTTGTTTAAATATAAATTGGTTTTGCTATTTACTATGTTGCGCCAAATTAGAACTCACATCTCAAGCCGATTTATTGCTTTTCCATTTGTATCTGTGACATGTCAAGTTGATTAATTCGATTTTGAATTGATATGCCGCATTTCGGCTGACGTTAATCCACCGAAGCCGATGTAATTAAATTACTTTATTGTTGCTGATTGACAAAAGTATTAATACATGGCATTTAGATTGCTGTTTTGTTGCTTTAAAGGTAATGAAATGTCAACTTCAACTTTTTCTGATATTCTTCCGTTAAAAAATCAATTAAATGTGGCGTTGTAATTTCTAAAAGTATAATAACATACAAAATTTGCAATCTCTTACCGAATACTCATGTTGCTCGCATTTATAGTCTGAGATTTTATCATTTGTATTAAAAGCAAGCTATATACAATCAACTGGTTTGCCAAACCCCATTTGAACTTCGCCAGAATTGCCACATACTAACCAATAGTGAGAAAGAAAAGAAAATTATACAGTTTAAACAGCTGGACTAAAGATATCGAATCGTTTTAAAGAAATCCACATTTATGTTATTTAAATTCGATTTTATTTTTCCTTGTATTTACTAATATTAAGGGTGATAAACATTTTTGTAGTACGATTATACTTTAACGGCAAAATAAGGCTCTCTTTCGCCTTCACCCCTTTCAATAACGCTAAGTTTCATTTAAGCAAACATTTCCTTAAGGTCTGAGAACAGAAAAAAATCGTTGACGTCAAATCCGAAGAAGACGCTGGTTGAGAAAGCAACTCGAAAAAGTTTTCCAACATATTTCTGGAATTGAGACATGCCCGATTGTCCAGATTATGTGTTTCAAATTATAATCACGATATGCTAAAGACACTTGCGGTCACATGTTCCGGCACCTCCCCTTTTCAGCCAAACATGGCCAAGACATTGCTTTAATTTCTTCAGAGTATCAGCTCTCTCCGTAAACTTAATATTACAGTCAGCCCAAATACTTTAATAGATTTTTTTATACTTTCGCCCAATAAAATATATTTTAGTTGTCCACTGCGTTCTTTGTTTTCGTAGCTCTTGAAGTTTGGGCGCTCGCTTATGTAATCATTAACTGTCTTCTCATTTAAACTTCACTGCATTCTATGTTCAAGTTCTACTCTAAGCAAAAACTATTGTATAAACCAATGAAAGAGTGGTTCTGCGAATCAAATGGACAAGTTTGTACTTTCACTCATAATAGTGGCTCAAGGTCATATAATAGTGCGATAATATCAAAATATTCATAGTTTTGATATACCTCGTCTCTGCATAGTGTTTTTCTCGAAATTTTGTGAAATACATAACATTCAAAATCTTTCTTCAAGCTGTGAATCATTTACTCTTAATAAGGTGCATGAGGTTTTAACCTTCTAATAAGTAAATAAAACATGATTTATTGATGTACATATGTAAATTTGAAGATAAAGATTGTTAACTGCTTTTGGTGATATTGTGTTTTGTTACTTATTAGTTCCTTGAAATATCTTTTGTTAGTGCTTTAGATCTCATTTTACATTTTTGCTTATATAAGGACTAAGATACTAATACACAATTCAGATAAAAAGAGCAGTTCACATGAACATTATCACGAAAAATGTTACCCATAATCTCCCACTATTATCTAAGTGGGTTTGTAGTACAACTGACTTTATTTGACTCTTGTTCTCAAAACCTAAAGCAGTTTAACAGTGACTATTTATTATCATATTATTGAGGTCTCCTCTTACATAAACACTTTGAGTATTTTCTTGAAAAATTCCGAAATATGATATGATAGGTGTATTCACACCGAACATGTTGATCAGGTACGTCGTTAGTTCGTTAAAACACTTAACTGTGAACATAATTCTTGCTTTATCTCAGTAGTGTAGTAAACTTTGCCGAGAACAAACAGCTGACTCAATGTACCAAGTAAGAAAAAAATTATCAAGCTTGCCAGACTAGTACTTCGTTACTCGGTAAAACGCCAATCTGTTAATTTTACAGAAACAAAATGCACGTAAAAAACTACCGAATAACTACTAACGAATTAACAAAGCCGGTGTTTACGCATCTATTGTTATACCCTTTATTCATGAGCGAAAGAACAAGAACAGGCTTCGATTTTTTTTGAATACTTAGAAAGTTTAATATGTTGTTTAGTTTATGACCTCGTAAAGTAGTTTCTTTTATATCGCAAACTTATACTCTCTGTTTTTACTAGTCGCGGGAAATGACACACAAGCTCCAAATACTTTCTCTTGTTTTTGGATATGAATAATAAATCAAACAGGACTTATTATTAGTACTCGGTAACACACTTTGACTTCAACATTAAGGTTTCTGGTTTAGGTACTCGTATGTTTATACAAATCTTATCATAATTTTCAAAATTCAAGTTCAAAATAAGACACAACTGATATTTGTGCTTACTCTCTATGGATTTCAAAGCCCTCTTACAAATTTTGATGAGTTGAAGCTCATACCCTATTGTCAATGCTTTCAGTCATTAATAGCAAATGCTTTCACAACAAGACCTACCACACGCTAAATTACAAATATTTATTTAATAAAACCTGTAACCGTGTTAATGCATAGCTGAAACGTGATATTTATAAATGGCAAATACTAATGAAAAGTGTCAACCAAGCTCGTAAAGCAAAACCAAAATCAGCTGCACAAACAAAAATTAGCAAAATGCTCGTGACAGATAAGTATTGATGCATATATGTGTCTGAAAATAAAATCAAAGCAAAAGTGTGCCAACTCGAGCATTAAATGACAAGTAATGAGAGCGCAAACAAGAACCGCAAACAAAATCAAACAATGACAGCACCAACACTAACAACTTGAAATGATATTTAACATAAGCAACAGAGGAACAGGAACACGACCAACCAAGCAACAATGGCGGCAAAACAAATTTTACGGTACATACAAGTATACACACGCATAACAAATAAATGGAATGCCAACTCACCGAATAAGCAAGTCAAACAAGCATTTGCCTCAATAATTTAGCAAGCCATATTTTATCCACCCATAGGCCAATATTTTGCGCGCTCGTAGAGCACTCAACCGCAGCTCCATTATCCATTATGCGCCTTTTTCGCGCTGCCGAAATCACAGGCACTAAAATTTCTGTTGTTCTTTTTGTTTGTGAAACAAGTAAAATTGATAGCACGCAGAATGCTATCTGTGCACATACATACATATAAATATGCAAATATATACAAGTATATACCTATTTATGTATATGTCTGTATTAACGAAAATGCTTGTAAGATATAGGACTGCACGGTACACACCAGACGAGCATGCTACAATGCCTAATTGGCAAACATATCGCAGCGTGTTAGTCTCCCGCTATGTTTCAAGCGCTACAAGTCTCAGCATGTAATATTTTCTATATCATATACTTATTTATGTCATGGGCAGATTATATGCAAATATAACATGTGAGAAAGTGATAACTTGCGGCAAGCCAACTTTTTATATCCACGCCCACATTTATTCTTTAAGCAATATTCAATGAAAAATAGCTACTCTTGTGTCATATACAATTATTTTGGGTTTTTTCTAGACCTTAAAATACTCGCAGTCGGCTACTTTTAGGTTCAAGAACGTCTCTCTGTTCACTTTTTTTTCAGTTCAAGAGCAAACTTTTGCTTCAATTTTAAAGATTTATCCGAAATATATATGGGGATTTTTACCGATTCTACCTAGTATCGGTATTAATATTTCTTTTGCAAAGTTTAACATATATATAGAACTTGACAAAGTTATCTTTAAGTTCACTCATTTGAATTTCTATTACTTCTTAAGAATCTATATAAGAAATTTGCGTTTTTTGGCACTTTCATATCAGCCAATTTTGGTTTAAGGGGTTATATCTTGCTTGTTAATTTCAAAAAATTGAATTTACCATATATATTACTCATATAATCGAGAATAGTCTCCGAAAATTTGAAGTTGATTTGGCAAATAGTTTCGGAGATATGAACGTCTTTGTAAGCATTTTCTCTAACTCACAAAACTTTAAACACATTTAACTCGAAACGCTGTTTTCAGAGAAAATGAGCA